ATTGATCTCATCTAAAATAAATTGCAGTAAGTCGAAGTGTAACTCAAGCTATGAGATATTAAACTCTTAAAACTATGTACATATCACATTTTCTCTTTGGAGAGATTTTATTTTTATTAAATGTTTTGGTTGCACCTGGACCAGAACATTTAAAAGACCACCTAAAAAAGAGCCACAACAATTGCTAACCCAAATCAGAAAGCTTTGCTAATTAATTTGAAAATTGTGAATAAATAACTAAATATACATTTATACATTAAGTACCGTATATATAGTATATATATAAAGTATATATGTACATATATATTGAACAGTTTTTTATTTTTGATTTTTAAATATGAACAAAATGAATTATTTTTTTTTGGACTTATTATTATTTTTACTAGATGATGAATTCTTCAACATTTTTGGTTTTGATTCTTTTTCAACCACTGAATCAGTACTGATTTTTATTCTATCTGTCAGTGTATGAATATAGTATTGAATATAGGCGTAAAGAAGACCTGCACCGCAATGCAAAGAAGTTAATAGTAAAGTCATGAACGGTAATTTTTGTTGCAACCCCAACAATGGACTCAGGTGCTCATATAAAGGTATTATCAAAAGTCCAGTTACATACAATACATGAAGTACGTTCACAGATGGCTTCATTTTATGGATGCGTACTAACTGCGCCAGCATAAAAGATATATACCCCAAATAAAGTGAATAACGAATTACTAACAAATCAATGTCAAATAATAGCGGGAATAGTGAAAAGTATCCAATTATGCTGAACCAAATACAGTAAGAAGCGTCTTTTGAATTTAAAATGCTTAAGAAACTACAATAGAAATTTGTTATTTTCTGTTAATAACGTAATTATTTACTTGTCAACTCACCAAAGTGGAAGTAAAGACATTAGAATCGCTTTCTCATGCACATGCCATCCAAACATAAATGAAGTACATGAACATAAAACAACAGCACGCAGGAACACGATTCCACTCTCACTGAAAAAGACACGTTCATGTTTACTAATCAAACTTTAATTTTGTGATGCAAACCTTTTTTTTGTATAAAATAATAATTTCAGGAGCACAGGCAACATAAACAGTATAGTCAACACAAAAGTAATTATTGGAGTAACTTTTGGTAATACAATATGATCGTATTCCTGAACAAGACCTGAAGTAGTCGAAGATCCACTTTTTGGTTTAGCCAGTGCTATAGCTGCAAATTTGTCAATGCTGTTATATATTGCCCAAATATTTGGAGCCCAGTAAGCATGAGTAAGACCACGTTTAAAAGGAAACAAACGATTCAGAATCTAAGGCTTGAACTTATATTCTTTAGTTAAAAAATTTGAAAAAGTTTTATTCCTACCTGTGGCAAATGGTTCCAGAAGGGTCCGAATGAAACAACGAACGGCAATGAACCCACAACAATTAATTTTAGAAACTTCCCCACAAATGTTTGTGTCTTATTCAAGCAGTAAAATTTCAATAAATACACTGCATATACTGGAGCTACATATAAAAATATATGTTTAAAGTTTAATAAAATTGAAAATGTGAAAGCTGACCACAAATATCGTTCCTCTAGTAAGAAACTTATGCTTAATAGCAATATACCATATAGAAACCCATTATACTGAAAGTGTATATGATCCAAGAATAAAAGGCCAACATTGAATAACAGCAGCACCTCGGCTGTAAAGTGTTTATGTGATTTCTTTGAAATACGCAAAACTTTTAAACAGCTTATTACACCGAGGGCGTAAACAAAGTCTAAAGCCATAACAGATATACGTTGAAAGTGTTTGGTCTCACTGGAGCAGTAATTTAGGTTATTCAGCTGCAGCATCTTCGGATCAATAAGATACGCGATTTTCGATAATCCCCATTCTAGATAAGCGAAGAAAGGAGGATAATCCAATGTCCATTCACTTGTTGCATCATAATACCAGCGATTAAATGGAAGAGAATGAGTAATTGCTAACCAGTTCCGATGTACCTCAAAGTCAGTGGAATGACTAAAAACGCGCCTTATTTAAAACCAAATTGTTTAAGATTTAATCTGAACTTACTATGATGGTATAAGCATTAGCTTTAGGCCTGTTACCGCTCCAAAAATCGTCCAGAAATAGCTTTGGAAACCCATCGTTAATATGTTTACGCCGGCATGCGATCTTCGAACTTTTCAGGTGATATAAACACATTACGCCGTTGCCATATAAATTTTTATGTCAATTTTTTGTAAGTCCAACACTGTAAAAAAAATAATTTTATAACTTCGTAAATCAAATGCTAAAATAATTTTTTTTTAAATTAAAGTTACAGGCAAATTTCTTTAGACATATTTTCTGAAATTATTCTTTCGTTTTTTAAGCATGATATAGACGATGCTACATGTATGCACACCAAGTGTACAGACCAAGTATGCGCTGTGCTATACACTTTGAAACAAGGTGTAATTTTACCGCATATATGTTAGTAGACCGAAAATTGGCATGCATATATTGGTATGCGTATATTTGAATATACACAGTGCGATTTGGCAAACGTAGTAGTAAATGAGCTGATTTATTGGTGATGGCTCATTTATCATATATGAAAGCTCTTTGTATGGTAAATCATCCCCATTAATGGTTAAAATGATCAAAACTGTTTAAATGAGACAGTGTGAATGTGTTAAAAAACGTTCCAATGCAATAATAATAATTATGTGTAATTACATATATAAAATGTATAATTATATGCTAAAGGTATTTAGAAACTGGACAGAGGTAAGATGTCCAAAGCACTGTTGCTACATTTATTTATAGTTTTTATATAGTTTATAGTTATTATAAATATATATATTAATGTTATATAGCAAGTTAATGTCCAATTTATTATGAATGAAATAATGTTCTGTACTACATTAGATGGCAACATCACTTTTGAAAGGGATTTTTTTGTGCTGTAGGCAATACTGTTTTGTATTATTGCTGACATGGAAGAAAAACTTGTGTTTTGTCACTAATTTTGTTCACAAAATTTTTGGTAAATTTTGATAATTTTTGTATTTTGTATTTGCATAAATTGTTTGAAACTGTTATATATAAATTTAATAAAGTGTTATCAAAATTATATCAAAGTGGAATGATTGCCTCCAAACATCTTCAACCAATTTTAGAAGATAACAAAAAAATTGGATCACAACGAACACGTCAGAGTCTGAAAATAGCAAAATAAAATAATCTTTTCTAAAATGTTCAGAATATAGCAAAAAAGTGTTAAAAAACTTTCGATTTTAGTAAGCAATTTTATGTAATTACCAATAATATTTAAGTTATTTTTTCTCTAGAGTGCAAATGTCAAACAGAACTAAGGAACGCGTAAAAATCGTTTATTTATTTCTAAAACCGATTTAGTTATAAAACTTTAAACAAAAACAAGCGTGTGAAGGCAAGGAATCTAATTAAAGAAATTAAGCAAAAGAAAGAAACCAGATTCGAACATCCATAAATATGTCTAGCGAAGAAAGTACAGGGCAATCGTCAAATATTAGCAACATACAAGAAAAATTTTCTAAGCAGCAGGTTAGATCAATAATAATCCTTTAATTAGAATATGTTTATAATAAATTTAAATATTTTAGGAGAAAATAGCTGCGCTTAAAGATTTAGTAAAAAAGTCAGAAGTTGCACATGGAAAATCAACTTCTACTGCAAAAGAAAAAGTGAAAAACATTGCTCAACGGCTGACGGATTTAAGATCGAAATCTAAATTTCGTAAGAGTGTAGATTCACCTTCGCAACATGAAGCAACGAACGAACCAGTAACGACGATTTCGAATATTCATCCTGACACATTTGCCCCCCAAGCTACTAATTATTCCACCCCCAATCCCACACCTTCGAAAATACAAGATGTTGCAACTCCTTTGTCGTCCAATACATCGATACCGAACAGTGAAAAAATACTCTTGCTGCGTCAGCAAATGGAACACAACAAAGCTCGAATGGCACAGCGAGCTTCAAGTAAATTACATTTGGAGCAATTAGTGACACAGTTAAAAGAAAAATTCGATTCGACGCAACAAAGTCTGGAAGATACAGCGGAATTAGGTAGATCAATGAATGACTTAAGTGCTGTAATATATACACCAGTCTCGCGTGAGCGGCATAAGTCGGCTACTGATTTATCTTCACAACCCTTTAACTTGGAGAAGGAGCGCATTAAATTTTTAGAGAATCGCTGTCGACTGCTAGAGAAACAGTTGGAAAAGGAATCTCAAACAGCGCAATCAGCACCGAAACGTATTAAGGAATTAGAAAATAAAGTATTGGAATTAACAGAAACACTGAATCAGGTACCTACAAAACAAATTGATATTTTAGAGAAAGAAATCGAAACAATAAGTAACGAGTTGTCAGAGAAGTCCAATGAAATTGAGAAATTGAAACAATTGCAAGGCAATGATAATGAATATTCGAATGAATACCGAGCTGAGAACGATCGTTTAAATGATGAAAAAATGATGCTTGCAAAACAAGTTGCCGAATTAGAAAATGCAAATCTAGAGCTTCAACAAAAGCTGTCACGCCAAATGGCAAGGGGTGATGAATTAAAACAGAAAAGCATAGAAGAAGATTCGTTTGAAGAAAAACTATCCCTGATCAAACGAATTGGTGAGTTGGAACAAATCAATGATGTTTTAGAAACTACGCGATGTGATTTAACAATAAAATGTAATGGGACGGAAGAGGCACTGCAATCTTGTCAAAAAAAATTAAATGATGCAATTGAAGAGTCTCATAAATTGCAAAAAAGACTAGAGGAAATGGAACAAAATATAACAGACCTATCTACTGATACATTATGTATTAAGGAATCAGCTACTGCTGAAACTGATGCAAAAATCAAAGACGAAATGGCGCATCAAATTCAAGAATTGCAAACTGAAATAATGAAATATAAGAATGAAAATAGGGAACTCAAGGAAACAATAAGTAAAAATAATAAAATTGAAGTTAGCGATGGTAGTATAGCTGAGAAAATATTATCGCTGGAGGCAACAATAGAATCACAACGTCAAGATTTGGCAGATAGATCGGAGAACTTGCGAAGATATGAAGAGGAGCTAATGGAGAAAACAATTGAACTAAATGTACTCAATGCCAATTTTAAAGTTTTAGAGGAAAAGTTGCAAGCAAATTTAAAAGCAAAACCACTTTTTTCTGCCACTGTGACAGGGGCTGACAATACTGAGTTGCAGAATGAAAATCAACAACTGAAGCAAAAATTGGATGAGTCAAATAAAGCAATGATTAAACTAAAGCTTAAACTGAAACAGACTGAAAAACAAATGGAAAAGCTAAAGAAAGCTTCTGATCTGCACGCCGAAGTGATAAGGCTAGAGAAGTGCAATGAAGATTTACAACAAAAAATTACAGAACTAGAAGACGAAAAAGGGCAGTGGCAATTATCTCAGGTTGAGGAAAATAAATTCAAGAATATTTATAATGAAAACATACAAAATGTAGATCAAAAAAGTGTGGAAGAAAAACAAAAAATTCTAGAAGAAACTATAAGGATGTTAGAGGAACAGAAGTTTGATCTATTTGAAAAGTGTGAATCATTGTCAACCGAACTTCACTTATTGCAACAAGAGGTCAGTACCAAAAATAGTGAGGAATCTGCAAGAGTTAAATCTGAAATGTCAGAAATTCATATGGAGGAACAGTTGGAGGAACAAATTCAATTAGTGAAATCATTAGAACAGAAAATAGATGATAAGAATACAGAGATAGATAACTTACATAAGCAAATAGATAAACTTCAAGATCTAAAACAAGAAGCAGACAAGAAATTGGAACATTATATATCTGAAAATATCGAATTACTTGATAAAATTGAAAAACTAAGTAAGTCGTCCTCTTCAGCTGAATCCATTGAAATTGTGGAAAGATTAACACAGCAAGAACGTGCTGAGATCGATGAATATAATAATCAAATTAATCAAGACCGTGTTGCCGAACATGAGCGGAGTTCGGTTAATGAGATCACGCAAACAGAAATGGGTCCAGAGTTAACTGAAAGTTTAATACAGTTACGTGAAGAAAGTGCAGAGCTAATAAAGAAAATAGAATTATTTACCAATGAACGCCGTGAAGTGCTTGATAAAATGGAAATATTATCCTCAGAAAATCAAGAACTTCATAGTAAAATTAAAGAACTTGTAATAGAAAAAGAATTATTAGAATCAAATGCGCAACAAGCTGAACACTCAAAATCCAAACTAGAAGTACATCTAAATGAGGTGACTAAAGAAAAAGAATTGCTGGCAGCACAAATCGCTGAGTCAAATGCGCAAAATCGGGAACTAACTCAAGGACTCACTTCATTACAGAAATCTTCGGAAGTAATGGCTGCCATTGATAGTACCGAAAATGCCACACTTTTCGATAAATGTGAGAAGTCGCTTTCAAAGTTAAACTCGGAAATTGAAGCGTATCGAAAAGCGAATGATAAAAATGCAAAATTTAATGTTTCTAAAAAGTTAGCTAAAGAGGCAAAGAATGCGTACACACAATTAAGTGAACTATTGCAGAAAGTGAAAGAAGCTAGTACAGCCGTTGAAACAGTTACTGTGGTGGAAACTGTAGTGGCAGTAACAGCACCGAACGGGAAAGCACTAGCGGAATATGAACAATTGACAGCACAAAACCGTGAACTGAAAGCTACTGTTAATGAGTTACGCGAAGAACTTCAAGAACTTAAAGACAATGCTGAAACTGCAACAGATAACATACAAGCAATAGGTGAAGAAGCAGCTAATAAGAATCATAAACAGTTATTGGAATCTTCAGAAAAACTAGAAAAAACTGAGGCTGAACTAATTGAATTACAATCAATTGTCGAAGATCTGCGAATACAATTACAAGAAGCTCGATTGGCCAGTGAAGAAAAGACTGAAGAAGTTGCAAGAATTAATATAGAACTTACGTCGTTACGGAATCTATCAGAAGATTTCGATCAACTCATAAACAATAAGGAAATGACGTTCGAAAAACAAATTGAACAACTAACTCGACTCAGAAAAGAGCTAGAGGGTATGTATATTCTTACATGTTTCTCACATAATTCTGTTTAATTTATTAATTCATTTTAGCTAAATGTGAAACCTACGAGGGAGAAATGGAGATTCTTCAAACTCTTGTTAAGGAACAAAAACAACAAATTATAGAAGCCTTTAAGGAAAATGAGCATGAAGTCAATCTCAAACTGTTGGAATTACAGCAGCGTGATGAACAAATAACCCATCTGAAAGCTGAAATTGCATTATTAAAGGAAGTGTCTAATGAAGTCAAAGTGCAGTTTTCAGAAGATTTAGAGAAAGAATGCCAAAAGCTCCGTGAATCTTTGAAAATAAATAAAGCTTTAGTTGCTGAACAAGTCGACGAGTTGGCAAACAAGCAGGAAACAATTGATACGCT